ATTAATATAAATAACTAAATTACAGAAATAATCAGAGTAAAGTACTATTTCTTCTTAAAGAAAACTGTAATAGAATCTCACCTTCTTTAAAATGCTGAATATTGTTTGATTTTTCTGCATTAACTTCCTTTCTTTGGTTTTTTGCATTTGTATTGCATACTGTAGGACTGTTTATAATTAAAGAATCTCTTGGTAATTCTTTATGTTGATTTGTTTTTGTTATTTCACAATCTATAAAAAAAATTTTCTGAATTAAACTGAATAAAAATATCTTTGCTTGATACAGTATATAACTACTTCCCAGACAGCACACATGTCCAAAATACATCCAAAGGATATCCGAAGGATATCCAGAGGACGTTTTGTAGTCCCAAAAACATCCTCTGGACGTCTTTTGGATATGTTGTGCTGTCTGGGTTATAACTACTTGATAAAGTATTATAATTTATAACAGTAATAATTAAGCAATTAATTTGGAATAACTATTTAATTAAAATTGTTAGATTTAATAACACCTTTACAATACCTTTACTAGAATTGTAAATATAATTTTTTTTTATATAACAAAAATTTGAGAAACAGTAACAATATACATATATAATGTCATAAAGTTCATTTCATTTCAGAATTATAATAAATATAATAATACAAAGAATAAATTTTTTAGCAAAAAAGTGCTACATTGTAGATAAAAATTAGTTCAAATATCCTTTATATAATATAATAAATGTCTAAAAATCGAAAAATTATTAAAATGACATTAAATGATCTTTGTTTTATGTTCATATATATTTTTACCTTCATATTCGGGAAAAGGTGGAAGAACAGAATGTTTAGTTCGTTTCGTTGAATGCACGTGCTGTTTTTCTAATGCTACATCTTCATCATCGGAATTGCTTTGATATCGAAGTGGTAATTTCTTCTGTCGTTTCGTTGTACAATATGTTTCTAAATCAGAATCACTGTTGCTCAAGTGAGACGTTTCTTCTGCTTTATATGCTTTTTTTGTAGCATTAGCAAAACTATCTATAAAAAAAATTTTTCGATAGATATTATTAAGCAATGTAGACTAAGATCAATATAAATTATATAACTTAACAAAAAGTGCACACACACATTTTATTTGTGTATAATATTATATTTCATTATAAATGTTATTTAATTAAAAAATTGAATTAGCACTGATAATTATAGGAGGATAATGTTTTTTAAGTTATGAAAAAATTAAGGTTTATACTATTTTTATAAAATCAATAGCAATTAAACATTGAATTTGTGTTCAAAAAATAAAACTATATACTACTGATATCCAATATTTATTCGAAGTTATAAAAATCACATAAAATAAAATTCTGTACTATAATTTTCTACAAAAAGTTTATCACATAATATTTTCATTTGAACTTAATTTTAAAATAAAATATTTCATTTTTAAATTATTTCATTGTCATATAACTTTTATTTATTTTTATCTATCCTGTATCATAAGAATAGAATAATAGAACATTTTAATATAAAAACAAATATGATAGTAATATAAAAATATATACCTGTATGTCCCAATACTTTTATATTAACAGAGCTCCAATTATCATTGGGTACAGTATTGTTTTTCAAGTATTTTCTTAGGATTGATGGAGTTATATCTTTAGGCCATAATGCTGTTTTATTATTAGATGATATCCAGGAAGAAAGGATAATTTCGACAGTGTTCTCTTCTATAAATTCGACTATAGAATATTTTTTCATCTGTATTTAAATATTTACATATGACATTTGTTGATCATCTCACAATTATAACAAATAATAACAAAATTTATGCTATAATATTTATACTTATAATATAAATGCTTGTGAATATCTTTTTATGTATGTATGTTAGACACAATATAATTAAAAAGAACAAAAATAATGCATAATATGTTTTATTGAAAAAAAAAATTTATTGAAAAATATAAAAAGAGACGCAAATGTTAATTGTATTTAGTAACTGTGTGTAGAAGAGGATATCCAATATATGAAATATTATCTTCAAACACAATGCATTTGGCTTCTATTTCTGCAAAATTAACTATTTTAAATGACTCTTCCAGATTATACATTCTATATATTTTTAACTTCTGAGATTCACAAGGATAAGTAAAATAATTACTGTATTTTCTAAATTGCTTACAAATAAAATCAATACACATGAAATCAATACACTGTGTTTTTTGTGAATTCTTAAGAACAATATTAAAAATTTGTACAATCTTTCCATTTTTTAACAACGCATAACGATCAGATCTATGACAAGTCACAAAATGATATTTATTAATAATTATCTCTTTATACTGACTTACAGAGCTTTCCATGCCAGCAATAAGTGGTCCACATTTATGTTGATGTTTTAATTTACAATTAAAAATATATTCTTCAGAAATAAAATTCTGATTTTCAGAAAGTCGTCGTGATAATTGTGATAGTGGTTGTTTTCCACCTCGAAGAGATCTTTTTATTTTGCCAAGCAAATTTTCAAAATCAAACGAACTTATATCATCTAATGGCTTTTTAAAATTTTTAACGTCGTCAGCAATATGAACAAGATTATGCACATTGTAAATTTTAGAACTTAGTCCAAAATATTCATCAAAAGTCTTAACAAATTCTATCAGTAAAGTCTGTGCATAATTGCATAATTGAACCGCTAATGTAGGATGTGAAAGAATAAATATTGCTGTATGAAAAATCTTAAAATGGTCGATATGATTATTTGGAATAATTCCATTGAAAACAAAAAGTCCAGTGTACAAGACAAATTGGCGTAGTTCAGTAGCTTTCCACTTTCTTATTTTATTTAAATTTCGAGGTTTTCGTGAAAAATCTATAGGAATGTATTCGTGTAACGATTCTAATATTTGAGATAAGCAATTAATTCTCCTTGTATCTAATTTAGAAAAATAATTATTTCCTTGCACCATTTCAAAAAGTATTTTTTTCATAACGCCTAAATGAACTAGATGCATTGAATCTAATATGAAATTTGTAACCATTGGAAAATTAATTTCTGTTAAGGGGGATATACCATTATGATGCCCCAATTGTGTTTGTAGCAAAAAACTCTCATCTGTTCTTGATTCAGCATCGATTTTATTGAATATTGTTGCACCAAATGGATGTGTCCCTTTTTGTGTGCACCTTTCACAACCATAAAAGCCATTATGTCCTTTAATTACTTTAATGAACGCTCTAGCAGGTGCATCACAAATAAAGGCTGAAACCGTTACTGAATATAATTTTGTATCGATAACTAAGCCATTATCACAAAGATTTTTGTACTCTTGTATAAAATCTTTCATATATTCATGTACATCTGGAGGTTTAGACTGGCCGCAGTATACAGCAACAATAAAAGGGTCAAGTTTACATAATGTTTGATCTATTTTGCAAAGTATCGGCCAAAATTGAATTGAAGAACTATTGGCTAATGGCAGCCCATCAATGTTAACAAACAACTTTATTTCTTGTAGTGATTTCAATAAGGGTACTTTTTAAAATAAAATATGTAAGTTATTGGCAATCCCAAAATAATAATATTTTCCACTACACATATCAAGAACAGATGTATTTCTTGATGTTTTTAATAAAGTCCTAGCATCAGAAAATGCAATAAGATTGTACTTTTTTAATGTACGTAAAAGAGAATTCAAAGCGATGTGAGAGATTCTATATTTGAGAGCCCACTGGGCAAGATTACTTGCTAAGTTAGGATTAATATCTTCTGTAGAATTTGTTAAGACATTACAATTATGACTAACAGAAAATTCTGCAGCATTCTCATTAGAACTTTCTTCATTATTATCATTTTCAAATAAATAAAACTCAATAGAAGAAACTGATGAGTTGTCAGATTCATTATCAGTGCAACTAGAATTGATACTTTTAATCTCATCTGTTGTCAACCAAAGAGATTCATTTTCGTTAAATTGCTGACAATGCTCTATCAAGTCGGAATGAATAGATTTTTTAGAATTTGATCTGATGGATTCTTCGATACTATTTGTTTCATTCTCTGTTTCAAGCATTGAAAAATGTTTCTTAACTCTATCATTAATTAATTTCCATTTTTTGCGTCTCTTTGACATTGTAATTAAACTGTACGTATGTTTATAAAAAAAAATATATAT